AGCTATTTGTTTGTTTATTTATTGATTTTAATATTAATATTAATGCATGGTTTCTATTCATAATACAGTCAGAACTCGTTAAATCAAAAAAAAAAAAACTTCAATTCATGTCTGTCCTACCAAAAAAAAAAACCAATAGGATAAATAATTAATGTGTACACGTCGATCAAATAACAAACTTTTTTAAATATTTTCTTTTATAATGTCATCAGGAAATAAAAGAAGACAAGAAAAAGATGCCGTAGATGTAAAAGGATAAGTGTTTTAAGAATAAGGATGGTGGTGGTTATTGTCCACCACTTGTCATTACTCTAGTTATTTTTAAAAAGAATGAGCTAAACTATTAAAAAAAAAGGATTATGGTTATTGGTAATTGGACCACACAGCTCATTATTCCAATTTACAATTGTAGTGGTTGCAATAATTGCAACTCACCATCCTATTCAATCATTATTAACCATTATCATTATCACTATATATAATGTTGCCAATCTTGTTCATTCATGGATTAATTAAATATATATATAGGAACACTACTCAAGAGGAGGCCAAACCAGTAGAAGTAGAAGCAGGGATCAAAAATGACAAATATCCTTATTTCAATGATGAATTTGACTTAGGTGAGATAGGCACCAATGAAATTGAAGAGCCACAAACTCCTGAACACCAAATCCATAGACAAAACTCTGACAATGATTCCACATCAGATGAATTGCCTGAGGTATTTATAGATTTTTCTCTAATGCTACATATATAAATATACTCATTGCATCCAATCTTCCAGATGAAATCATTACAACCAGATGAAGTATTACTTCAAAAAATCCTAGTTGAAATCCTTGATAAATTCAAATCTAAAGACCTTGCATTGAATAAAACCTTTATGGAATCTAATTTTCTTAATAATATCATTGATCTAAGTGATACCAAAATGATGCATGAAATACAATTTAAATTGAATTCCAATCAACAATTATGGCTTGATAAAGCATTAGAAAAACAGATTCCAATACCTGAATTTAACAATTATTGTGATCAATTCACAGATGATGTCTGTAATTGAGTCAAAATTCCAACTTTAGTTTGAAAAACATTCATTGAAGGATTTTTTGATTAAAGACTAGTGCTGTAAATTATGATGATGGTAGTAATTGTATTTACAGCATATAAAAAGTGGTTGCAACCACTTTTGCAACCATACTTTTTCCTTTTTTGGATTACAGCACTAGTCTTTAATTTTGATCCTTTTTTTCACAAAGTATATGATATTGCACATGATATATTAAAACATTTGTAAGTATTCTTGTAAAGGTTCAATTTTCTAAAGATATGCTAACATCAATTACAATAATAAATAGTTCTGTATGACTAGAGGCTCCTAATAATTCTGAGTCAAATGAATCAGATTTGGAAAGAACATATGCAATTGATACAACCATATATATTGTGGACTGTCTCTTTCAGATGCACCAGGACATCCTGGAATGGACATGGTAAGTTTAATTTTAAATTCTAATAATTTGAGTTATATTATTTGTTAATTTCTTTTTATCCAATTTAGGCTTGAAATACTTACAAAAGATACCAAGAATCGAAAAATAGATGGTGCTTTGAAAATGATCAAAACAACAAAAAAGAAACATCAAAACAATATGTATTGTGGAATTCTCTTATGGTAAAAAGGCTCCTGTTAATAAGGAAATTGATGATAAAGTCAAACTTGCCTGTAATGCAATGCAAAGTCTAAACAAATTACTTGATACTGTTTCTTGCAAAAAGGCCCATGTTTATACAATTCAATCTGTTAGTAAGTATCATAATGTGATAAATTTCTTGGTTTACATAATCATCTTTATTGGCTTGCATAATTTTTTTTTCCTTTAAGATGGATGATACATTTACATCCATATATTTCTATAATGAATTTGCACACATTAAAATCTCAAGAAATTTCAATGATATGGAACAATTTGCAATAGATATGAAAGCTCTCATGGATTTTCAGGCAACAAATCATGATATGTGTTTATAGAAGCCTTGGTGGGATATTGATAAAACTTGTTTTGTTATTACAGAAAGATATTTTGAAAACAATCCAATCAGTAAATAAGTCTACAGGCGACAAAGATGTACACAAAACTGAAGTCAAAGCAACACCACAGAAGTCAAAACAAAAAATTGTTGATTGATAACTTGCTGTGATAAAATCATGATCTTGAGTAAAATATATTAAAAACTGCTTCAATTATGAAAAAATATTTTCTCTTTTTTATAAGTTTCACAAAAAATGAATCAATATATTATCCATATTGTCTTTGAGAATATTGATAAGTCATACAATCAATTAATAATAGATCCATATATGATATGAAAGAAAGAAATAAATAGATATTATTACAGATATTATGGAGACAAAGACTTTGTACATACTTTTCTTTTTATTGATTATTTTTTTTAAATAGTTTTGATGTTTGTAAATCCTTTTGATTGTAAATTTTTTATGAAAATAAAAAAAACCAAATTTAATGGTATAAGCAATTAACAATCCTTTTATGAACAGTATTTTTTATAGTAAATTTGGGGAAAAATTACTATGTATTTTTTGCCATTCCTCAATTGTTGTATATTATATTTTACCTAACTCTGTTCATAAAAGGATTACATGTATTTATTACACTAGTAATTAAAAAACAAGTTTATTTTTTTTCAAACTTCCTTTTCTTTTTAGGTTCTTCATTACTTTGGAATTTCGAAAAAATTGTTGGTAAATTACAAAATTCCACTAATCAAAATTAACCAAATCGCACAATAAAAAATTATATATATTATGAATATATCAATTTTTAAGGTGATGATCGACACGGGCATGGTAGACTTTTTTACAGTTTTACAAAACCCATAATAATAATGGCCGAATTTCTATATATAGATCAATGTATAAAATCTCAAATATTGTTAATTAGAAAGCATGATGATCAGAAAAATTTTTCTATATAAAAAAATTTAATCGTACAAATTTGTAGATTTCATAAGTAATCCTTTCTTTTCTTAGATAAGCTTCTAGTGTTTGAGTATCATTTATTTTGAAAATATAGGGAGCAATTTTCTCACCTTGTTCCTTTTTAAAATACTTCTGATAGTACTATAATTCTTGGGTTCCATAGTAGATCTGATATAAATGAGTACTATTTTTATATAGAGGTAATTCTATATATCACTTAACAAATGGGCATTATAAACTAATTGTGATGATAATAACTAAATTTTGATCCCTGAAATTCTGGTAATACCAATGTTCACTTTGTCTGATTTTGTTGCAAGCATGCCCCATATTACTGTTATGTATATAATAATAGTGTTATCATGACTACACTAATATTTTTAATGATTGGCAGTCAAAAAATTATTTACTGTATCATAGTAAATTTAATGATCAGCAGCATAAAAATAATCAATTGACCAACTTTTAAAGAAAGCTATACAAAAGCCACAAGGACAACACCCGAATTTTTTTTACAGATTGATCGGCTATATCTCAGATATCATTTTCATATTAGGAAGTGATATGCTTAGAGAGAATTTATATATATATATATTAATATTAATAAAAATTTTATCGGCTATCAATAGCCGATTAACCGTTTCCTTTTTATTTTTTTAAAAATAGCAAAAATAATATTCTGCAAAAAATTATTTAGCGGAAATTTAATTTGAGTAGCGTAATATAATGTAAATAATAATAATACATTAATGAAATTTCTAAATAATATAATATATAATACATATTTCCAAAAACTGAAGAAAATGAAATTGATAATATTTGTCTTCAAAAGTAAAAAAGGAATGAATTTAAACATTTTGGAATGGTGGAAAACTCGACAAGATCATCCATTATCAATATTATGTTCCAACTACTGCCTAGTAAAATAGGGTTCAGCGCAGCTGGTTTAACAATAAATAAAACTTAAATCCAGAAACGGTTCTTGTTTCACGTAGTGCTCTCAATAGTAGTTCTTAATTAAAAATTTTTATTATTGTACTATTTTTTTTTAATTACAAAATTTTTTGTAAAAAAAGATATGGGTAAATTTGTAAATTTTTTTGGGTAGGGGTATAAAATTTTGATATCATGCGGGCATGGGTTGGATATAGATGAAAATATGTCCCATCAATATCTGATAAAATTGCTTTAGAAAGAATTTAAAATTGCAACAGGGTAATGACATACGATCAAACCTTGTCACAGCGACACATAAAAAAATTTTTATATTAATACGTGAAGCAAAAATTTTAAAAATCCGTATGACAAGAATTTAATTATTTGACAAGGTTTGACTATACAAGTAATTGATAGAAACAAATTAATTCCTTAATACAAACTAGTATGTATATTTATTTAGAAAAAAAATAGTGTTTTATCTTCTATCTCTTTTATTAAATAATTGTTTTTCAAATTATTATTTATTTTTATAAATAAACGATTTAAAACGATTTTCTTTTTTTGTTTGTAAAATTGCATATTTTGATAAGTCAGCCCACCATGCCCAGCCACTCGTGTTCGACTTATCAAGTTTATCTATGCATCAGATTAAGATTGCCAATTCCACTGGAAAAGCTAGCAATTTTTTATCAAGCTTCTGACGCTCAAGCCGTCTAGCGATTCTAGATGCTATTTTCTCAATATTGGAGCTTGGCTTTGTGGATTGGGAGTTTAACAATCAACAATTGATACGAAGAATCTGAATTTATAAGTATGAATCATCGATTAAACTTGGTGTGTGGTAAAATGGTAAATAATCATGACCTTGTTATTTGATTGAAATCGACCTTTCGATTATTCTTCTCAAAGATATTCCCATCAAAATTCTCTTGTATATTGTGAGTACACAGTGAATCTCGATTTAGCGAATGCTAATTAAAATCTCGGTTTTACGGATAAAGTTCAAAGAACGGTTCCATAATAAGGATACAAATTTATTTAATGTTTCTATTTTTTTTTTTTGATCTAAAATTTTTCCCCGCGACAGATGCGAGTATACTGTGGATCTGCTCATTCTAAATTTGAGGAAGAAAATCTGTGGGGAAGGATTCATAATATACGACCTCCCGTCTTTGATGATTTCAAATCATTCATATTACACTTGATGAGTCAGTAGTATCATCATGTCTTTCCATCATTATATATATATACTTATCTGGAGCAATAGCATCAAACTTGATTATTTTCTCACAAGTTTTAATGAAAATGTTTGCAAATAACGTATCACTTTCTCCACTAAACCAGAATATAAGGATTGTATTATTTCATAGTGCTTTGTTAAATTTAAATTTGCTGGTTATAATAATGGTATGGCAAAAATAGAACTCCAGGGTCTCGTCAAGTTTCAAATCTAATGAGCGAAAATCCCAGGAGGACTCAATTTAATGAATGTATCATGTATATCCCCAAACTCCCTAATTTCCCTTACATTGGCCATGTGATAGATGATCCAATTGTTGGAACAATTTCAAGCAAAACTTTTGTGAACGACTGCAATATACCGGGTCCATTGAGACCAACAAGTTTTAGTCTGGTCCATTGACATTAACAAAATACCAAGTCTACCAACACTGGTATGCTAGTGTATTATCATTATTATGATTCTTATTACTAACGCAAGTTTATATGATTTAGAAACAAAATTATGCGTAGATGTTTTGCTTGCTAAAATATTAATGTTGTATTGAAATTGTCGATCCTAATGGAAATGATATGCGAAGTGTTTATGTTGTATACGTTTTAGCACAAAATGAGAAAGAACTCTGTAAGAAAGGCATGTGAGTATGTGGAAAGAGACCATAGTTAATCGCTTCTATATTTGTTCAAATATTAACAATTGGAAAATACAAATGACAATCTAGTCCAATTGCTTCGGGATATTTTCTATTAAAAATTTCTTGGCAAGACGGCTTGTATGTTGATGGCTATTGTCCTGCTGAAATTTCAATCATTTCGTGAGGTCTAATATATCTGTATTTTATTGGCATTAGAAGTAATGGTTAGAGTGAGTGTTTTGCTTGAGGGAGAGGGACACCCTGAAACACATAAGGATATTTGCATCTTACATATGATTCATATGTGCGTATATTACGTCAATTTAAAAAACATATATAATTGGTTTGTACTTCATAAGGATATTGAGAATCCTATATATTGCTGAAATATTTTGGCCAACATCTTCAGTATGCATAACTGGTAATTTTCATTGTATACTTTGTAAGCAATTGTCATCATTGGAAAAATTGATTTTATACTGTACAAGTAAATTAATCAATTAATTTATGCGATATGATGAAAATTATTTACAAGACGTCAAAATAAAAATTGCAAATGTTTGAGCAAATTCTATTAAAAGACTTTTATTTTCTCCTTCTCAGGAGAAGACCGAATAATTATACAGATAAATAAAATATACATGTAAATGATAATTACAACAACTACAACAATAATATAAGAATTAAAAAACAAAAAATCGTACACTCTCACACAGTACGCAAAGTATGTTATGTATGACTATTATAAACATAATATTCTATGTATGATGACGAAATAGTTTAGTTTGAAAATAACTTCGATAATAATAATAATAGTTACGGTTTGAAATAGAAATTAGAATTCCTGATTCGAATTCCAAAATATTGTTTTTAAATTATGTCAAGCAATTTTGATTCTCGTAGTCTTTATTTGCCAAATACCAAGACCCCCGGATTTCGATTTCGGATTTCACTAATACTAATACTAAGGACTTTTGATTTCGAAAGCTTGAGTAATTTTTTCAAAAGTTTTAAAATGACTTTTGCCATCATGTATGGTTTTAATCAAAGAATCAGGATCACAGAATATTGAGTTTCTTTAAAAATAAATATTTTTTTAAAAGAGGTGTTTTACAACCAGTTTTGGCATATGAATTGAGTTTTGAGTTTGAGTAATAGTTTCGGCAACCAACTGTAGTTTCGGCATAATGGTTGAGTCTTGGCAAGATGATCAAGTTTCGAATTATTAATTATTATTATTATTAGTTTTTTTTTTTGAATTTCGATATCATCACATTTTAGTTCAAAGTGATATGAACTTATTTATTTTGAAAAATTGAAAATGTTATCACGAATTTCGATTTTTTTAATTGAAAATTTTCCCAAGGTGTAAAAT